AATGTCCAGTTGGTTCAAGTTTTGTCCCAGATGTTGAATGTCCAGTTGGTCAAGTTTTGTCCCAGATGTTGAATGTCCAGTTGGTCAAGTTTTGTCCCAGATGTTGAATGTCCAGTTGGTTCAAGTTTTGTCCCAGGTCTGTGTTGAATGTCCAGTTGGTCAAGTTTTGTCCCAGATGTTGAATGTCCAGTTGGTTCAAGTTTTGTCCCAGGTCTGTGTTGAATGTCCAGTTGGTCAAGTTTTGTACCAGATGTTGAATGTCCAGTTGGTCAAGTTTTGTACCAGATGTTGAATGTCCAGTTGGTCAAGTTTTGTACCAGATGTTGAATGTCCAGTTGGTCAAGTTTTGTACCAGATGTTGAATGTCCAGTTGGTTCAAGTTTTGTCCCAGACGTTGAATGTCCAGTTGGTCAAGTTTTGTCCCAGATGTTGAATGTCCAGTTGGTCAAGTTTTGTCCCAGATGTTGAATGTCCAGTTGGTCAAGTTTTGTCCCAGATGTTGAATGTCCAGTTGGTTCAAGTTTTGTCCAAGGTCTGTGTTGAATGTCCAGTTGGTTCAAGTTTTGTCCCAGATGTTGAATGTCCAGTTGGTCAAGTTTTGTCCCAGACGTTGAATGTCCAGTTGGTCAAGTTTTGTCCAAGGTGTGTGTTGAATGTCCAGTTGGTCAAGTTTTGTCCCAGATGTTGAATGTCCAGTTGGTCAAGTTTTGTCCCAGGTCTGTGTTGAATGTCCAGTTGGTTCAAGTTTTGTCCCAGGTCTGTGTTGAATGTCCAGTTGGTCAAGTTTTGTCCCAGATGTTGAATGTCCAGTTGGTTCAAGTTTTGTCCCAGATGTTGAATGTCCAGTTGGTCAAGTTTTGTCCCAGATGTTGAATGTCCAGTTGGTTCAAGTTTTGTCCCAGGTCTGTGTTGAATGTCCAGTTGGTTCAAGTTTTGTCCCAGGTCTGTGTTGAATGTCCAGTTGGTTCAAGTTTTGTCCCAGGTCTGTGTTGAATGTCCAGTTGGTTCAAGTTTTGTCCCAGATGTTGAATGTCCAGTTGGTTCAAGTTTTGTCCCAGATGTTGAATGTCCAGTTGGTCAAGTTTTGTCCAAGGTGTGTGTTGAATGTCCAGTTGGTTCAAGTTTTGTCCCAGATGTTGAATGTCCAGTTGGTCAAGTTTTGTCCAAGGTGTGTGTTGAATGTCCAGTTGGTTCAAGTTTTGTCCCAGATGTTGAATGTCCAGTTGGTTCAAGTTTTGTCCCAGATGTTGAATGTCCAGTTGGTTCAAGTTTTGTCCCAGATGTTGAATGTCCAGTTGGTTCAAGTTTTGTCCCAGATGTTGAATGTCCAGTTGGTCCAAGTTTTGTCCCAGATGTTGAATGTCCAGTTGGTCAAGTTTTGTCCCAGATGTTGAATGTCCAGTTGGTTCAAGTTTTGTCCCAGATGTTGAATGTCCAGTTGGTCAAGTTTTGTCCCAGATGTTGAATGTCCAGTTGGTTCAAGTTTTGTCCCAGGTCTGTGTTGAATGTCCAGTTGGTCAAGTTTTGTCCCAGGTCTGTGTTGAATGTCCAGTTGGTCAAGTTTTGTCCCAGATGTTGAATGTCCAGTTGGTCAAGTTTTGTCCCAGATGTTGAATGTCCAGTTGGTTCAAGTTTTGTCCCAGATGTTGAATGTCCAGTTGGTTCAAGTTTTGTCCCAGATGTTGAATGTCCAGTTGGTTCAAGTTTTGTCCCAGATGTTGAATGTCCAGTTGGTTCAAGTTTTGTCCCAGATGTTGAATGTCCAGTTGGTCAAGTTTTGTCCCAGATGTTGAATGTCCAGTTGGTCAAGTTTTGTCCCAGATGTTGAATGTCCAGTTGGTTCAAGTTTTGTCCCAGGTCTGTGTTGAATGTCCAGTTGGTCAAGTTTTGTCCCAGATGTTGAATGTCCAGTTGGTTCAAGTTTTGTCCCAGGTCTGTGTTGAATGTCCAGTTGGTCAAGTTTTGTACCAGATGTTGAATGTCCAGTTGGTCAAGTTTTGTACCAGATGTTGAATGTCCAGTTGGTCAAGTTTTGTACCAGATGTTGAATGTCCAGTTGGTCAAGTTTTGTACCAGATGTTGAATGTCCAGTTGGTTCAAGTTTTGTCCCAGATGTTGAATGTCCAGTTGGTCAAGTTTTGTCCCAGACGTTGAATGTCCAGTTGGTCAAGTTTTGTCCCAGATGTTGAATGTCCAGTTGGTCAAGTTTTGTCCCAGATGTTGAATGTCCAGTTGGTCAAGTTTTGTCCCAGATGTTGAATGTCCAGTTGGTTCAAGTTTTGTCCAAGGTCTGTGTTGAATGTCCAGTTGGTTCAAGTTTTGTCCCAGATGTTGAATGTCCAGTTGGTCAAGTTTTGTCCCAGACGTTGAATGTCCAGTTGGTCAAGTTTTGTCCAAGGTGTGTGTTGAATGTCCAGTTGGTCAAGTTTTGTCCCAGATGTTGAATGTCCAGTTGGTCAAGTTTTGTCCCAGGTCTGTGTTGAATGTCCAGTTGGTTCAAGTTTTGTCCCAGATGTTGAATGTCCAGTTGGTTCAAGTTTTGTCCCAGATGTTGAATGTCCAGTTGGTTCAAGTTTTGTCCCAGATGTTGAATGTCCAGTTGGTCAAGTTTTGTCCCAGGTCTGTGTTGAATGTCCAGTTGGTTCAAGTTTTGTCCCAGACGTTGAATGTCCAGTTGGTTCAAGTTTTGTCCCAGATGTTGAATGTCCAGTTGGTTCAAGTTTTGTCCCAGATGTTGAATGTCCAGTTGGTCAAGTTTTGTCCCAGGTCTGTGTTGAATGTCCAGTTGGTTCAAGTTTTGTCCCAGGTCTGTGTTGAATGTCCAGTTGGTCAAGTTTTGTCCCAGATGTTGAATGTCCAGTTGGTTCAAGTTTTGTCCCAGATGTTGAATGTCCAGTTGGTCAAGTTTTGTCCCAGATGTTGAATGTCCAGTTGGTTCAAGTTTTGTCCCAGGTCTGTGTTGAATGTCCAGTTGGTTCAAGTTTTGTCCCAGGTCTGTGTTGAATGTCCAGTTGGTTCAAGTTTTGTCCCAGGTCTGTGTTGAATGTCCAGTTGGTTCAAGTTTTGTCCCAGATGTTGAATGTCCAGTTGGTTCAAGTTTTGTCCCAGATGTTGAATGTCCAGTTGGTCAAGTTTTGTCCAAGGTGTGTGTTGAATGTCCAGTTGGTTCAAGTTTTGTCCCAGATGTTGAATGTCCAGTTGGTCAAGTTTTGTCCAAGGTGTGTGTTGAATGTCCAGTTGGTTCAAGTTTTGTCCCAGATGTTGAATGTCCAGTTGGTTCAAGTTTTGTCCCAGATGTTGAATGTCCAGTTGGTTCAAGTTTTGTCCCAGATGTTGAATGTCCAGTTGGTTCAAGTTTTGTCCCAGATGTTGAATGTCCAGTTGGTTCAAGTTTTGTCCCAGATGTTGAATGTCCAGTTGGTCCAAGTTTTGTCCCAGATGTTGAATGTCCAGTTGGTCAAGTTTTGTCCCAGATGTTGAATGTCCAGTTGGTTCAAGTTTTGTCCCAGATGTTGAATGTCCAGTTGGTCAAGTTTTGTCCCAGATGTTGAATGTCCAGTTGGTTCAAGTTTTGTCCCAGATGTTGAATGTCCAGTTGGTCAAGTTTTGTCCCAGATGTTGAATGTCCAGTTGGTTCAAGTTTTGTCCCAGGTCTGTGTTGAATGTCCAGTTGGTCAAGTTTTGTCCCAGGTCTGTGTTGAATGTCCAGTTGGTCAAGTTTTGTCCCAGGTCTGTGTTGAATGTCCAGTTGGTCAAGTTTTGTCCCAGATGTTGAATGTCCAGTTGGTCAAGTTTTGTCCCAGATGTTGAATGTCCAGTTGGTTCAAGTTTTGTCCCAGATGTTGAATGTCCAGTTGGTTCAAGTTTTGTCCCAGATGTTGAATGTCCAGTTGGTTCAAGTTTTGTCCCAGATGTTGAATGTCCAGTTGGTTCAAGTTTTGTCCCAGATGTTGAATGTCCAGTTGGTCAAGTTTTGTCCCAGATGTTGAATGTCCAGTTGGTCAAGTTTTGTCCCAGATGTTGAATGTCCAGTTGGTCAAGTTTTGTCCCAGATGTTGAATGTCCAGTTGGTTCAAGTTTTGTCCCAGATGTTGAATGTCCAGTTGGTTCAAGTTTTGTCCCAGATGTTGAATGTCCAGTTGGTTCAAGTTTTGTCCCAGATGTTGAATGTCCAGTTGGTTCAAGTTTTGTCCCAGATGTTGAATGTCCAGTTGGTCAAGTTTTGTCCCAGATGTTGAATGTCCAGTTGGTCAAGTTTTGTCCCAGATGTTGAATGTCCAGTTGGTCAAGTTTTGTCCCAGATGTTGAATGTCCAGTTGGTCAAGTTTTGTCCCAGATGTTGAATGTCCAGTTGGTCAAGTTTTGTCCCAGATGTTGAATGTCCAGTTGGTTCAAGTTTTGTCCCAGATGTTGAATGTCCAGTTGGTCAAGTTTTGTCCCAGATGTTGAATGTCCAGTTGGTCAAGTTTTGTCCCAGATGTTGAATGTCCAGTTAGTTCAAGTTTTGTCCCAGATGTTGAATGTCCAGTTGGTCAAGTTTTGTCCCAGATGTTGAATGTCCAGTTGGTTCAAGTTTTGTCCCAGATGTTGAATGTCCAGTTGGTCAAGTTTTGTCCCAGATGTTGAATGTCCAGTTGGTTCAAGTTTTGTCCCAGGTCTGTGTTGAATGTCCAGTTGGTTCAAGTTTTGTCCCAGATGTTGAATGTCCAGTTGGTTCAAGTTTTGTCCCAGATGTTGAATGTCCAGTTGGTCAAGTTTTGTACCAGATGTTGAATGTCCAGTTGGTTCAAGTTTTGTCCCAGGTCTGTGTTGAATGTCCAGTTGGTCAAGTTTTGTCCCAGATGTTGAATGTCCAGTTGGTCAAGTTTTGTCCCAGGTCTGTGTTGAATGTCCAGTTGGTCAAGTTTTGTCCCAGATGTTGAATGTCCAGTTGGTCAAGTTTTGTCCCAGATGTTGAATGTCCAGTTGGTTGAATTGTTTTAACGTGATGTTCCTGACAGCTGGCATAACCGCCAGACATTCCTGGAGGCCATCAAGAGACTGAGACTGAGGGAACTGTCCAGCAGCCACAGGGTGGCAGCCATCATCACTGGACTCTCAAGTCTCCTCCCATACCAGGTCATGACACTCATGACACCACTTGACCTGGAAATTAGGACCAGTGGACGCCCGCACATAAGTCTGGACTTTCTTAAGGTAAGACAACACAGTTGAGATGTGTCTTGGCTAGCAGTTGATGTCCCTGTCTATTGATGCCTGTATTTGAGATGTGTCTTGGCTAGCAGTTGATGTCCCTTTGATGCCTGTATTTGAGATGTGTCTTGGCTAGCAGTTGATGTCCCTTTGATGCCTGTATTTGTGATGTGTCTTGGCTAGCAGTTGATGTCCCTGTCTATTGATGCCTGTATTTGAGATGTGTCTTGGCTAGCAGTTGATGTCCCTTTGATGCCTGTATTTGAGATGTGTCTTGGCTAGCAGTTGATGTCCCTTTGATGCCTGTATTTGTGATGTGTCTTGGCTAGCAGTTGATGTCCCTGTCTATTGATGCCTGTATTTGAGATGTGTCTTGGCTAGCAGTTGATGTCCCTTTGATGCCTGTATTTGTGATGTGTCTTGGCTAGCAGTTGATGTCCCTTTGATGCCTGTATTTGAATGTCTCCAGTCCCACACCATGTATCAAGTTGGACTGGTGGAGTCTGACTCACACATTGAATACTTCTGGACGGCCCTCGAGTCCTTTAGCCAGGAAGAGTTGACGAGGTTCATCAAGTTTGCCTGTAACCAGGAGCGTGTGCCCCACACCTGCCCATGCCAGGAGGGTGGACCAGACTCAGCCCATGTCCCACCATTCCCCATGAAGATTGCTCCACCAGATGGCACAGGTGAGATCTAACATTTAGTTACAGGTATGAGAACATGTTTGTATAGTTGTTTGATGGTTTGAACTTGTAACCCCCCCCCCCCCTCCCCTGATGTAATTGCTTCAGGTCCCCCAGATGGGCGCTACATTAGAGTGGAGACGTGTATGTTTATTGTCAAGCTGCCTCAGTACAGCAGCCAGGAGATGATGACCCAGAGACTGCGCTATGCCATCAACTGCAGGGAGGACCCACTCAGTGGCTGACCCAAGTCTGATGATTGGCTCTTTACTTTCTGATATCCAATCCATGATGTGCTTCACATTTTTCTCATTAAATGTTCAATCTTACTCAAGCCATGGGATTTGATTCTTTCAAACAATTGTGTTCTTTTCTGTTGACATTTGAAAAGTTCACTTGGACTATGCATTGTTTGGATCTTGTGATGTTTTTTTTTTTTAATTTATTCATGATTTTTAATGACAGCCACTTCGAGCAGTCGTTAAAAAATTATAATCATATCCAATGTTTCCTTGCAACAATTCAAATGTTTACTTTCTTTCAGCACAACTCAAAAAAAAAGTTTTTTTGTTTCTATTACATTTTTTGTGTTATTGTACAATTTTTTTTCTACGCATTACTGAACTTTGAACATCCAAGCCTGAATGGGTTCAAATGTCTGAAGTTATGGTTCAGTTGAATTGAAAGTGTCTGGCTCATGAGATAAACCTCAGCAAGTGCTGTCTGCCAGCAGAGAGAAGCTGTCCTATACATCCAGCCCAATGGAAGCAGATTGAACAAGTCCAAAGTTTGGGCCAATTAAGTTGTCTTTTGATCACATCCTGGATAAACTAATTCTTCAAATGTTTGATGTGCATCAAAGTCAAAATTTGATCCCGCTCACAAGTTTGATGTAACTATCATTAGGATTCCACACCTTATGTTAGCCCTCCAGCTGTTGGAGCTAGAGAGCTACAAAAGAGAGGTGAACCTAACTCATAATGTGGTGGTGGGGGGGGGTGACCTAACTCAGCTGATAAGAATGTAGATACTATTCAACTTTGCCAGTCTAAAACTTGTGCCAGTGTTGGCCATAATGGGGGGGGGGGGGACCTAGCAGTCAAGTAATATTTATGTGATTGAGTTTTGCCTGATTTAGCTAGAAAGGCTGGTGTGTAGATAATGAATGCCTTAAATGTAAAATTAGTCTGTACATAAATAGTTGTGTCAATTTTCTCAAGATGACTATGATGTGGTACACCATATCTGCACATGTCTGGGGGTACCACATGTGGCGTTGTGAACCCACAGTCCATGTGCTGTTGTTTGTTTTTTTTTGTGCAAATTTTCTTATTGCTTTACATAACTCAGGCTATTTTTCACTTTTTGCTATTTATTTAAACAGTTTAACACAAGAGAAAGTGACGTTAAATCTTTGGAAGCTTCACCAATTTTTCATTGATGTATCAATTATTGTATCATTTTGATATTCCTTTATGAAAGTTGACTGTGTTTTGATAATCCTTCAGGTTTTGTATGAAAGTTTTGTTATAATGTGGCACTGAGGTGCACACAAAACAGTTTCCTTGTCACAGAATTTCTTTAAGCCAGATTAAGTGTACGGTGTATTCGTTATTTATTTCTTAATCAATTTGTGCATAAATATCTGTATATATAATAAAGTAAATTATAACTGAAGAAAACAACTTGTCACATTCTTCCTTTACATAACAATCTGTTTTTCTACCTTATTTTTACTTTCTCGCATACAGAGTATAGTAAAGTCAGTAAAGATAAAGTATTATCATCATGCACAAAAATTATGTTATACATACTGTATACAAAATATAATTTAATATAAAGGATGTATTGTAATCATGAAAAAATCTAAACCCAGGTTTTGACACAACCTTCTAGTGCCAGAAAAACCTAGTTTTGTCATCATGTCAGACTATGGAAACATAACTTGAGTATTATTTCAGTTATGTTGACCAAAGTTCATACATAAGTATTATATCAAATTTCTTGTTTTCCATCAATGTTTGCGCTATTTCCTATAACCAGGAGTGATACATACTCTAGTTCCAGTCTCTTTAAGAACACTTGAGGGCCATTTAAGTTGGGCTGACAAAATTTCACATACAAGTGTGCACAGGTTTATCTCAACCTCTGAATGATTTTGAATGGTCGCAAATGGTACTTTACTCCTTTAACACGATAACTTCAGAACAGCTTAAGTTACCTAGGTGAAATTTCATATATATGTAAAAAATCTTATTCTTGGATCACTTACAACTTTTTAGTGAATTCATATTTCTTGTTTCCAAAAACACTAAAATACCCAATAACTAATAATTTGAATACTATTTCAGTTAGCTAAACAATGATAGTTTTTGAAAATGAAAAGGGATTAGAAGTGCTAGAAAATTAAATAAGCCTAGCCTATATATTTTACAATTGTTATTATAGTTTGAGTACATTTGAATGGCTGATGTGATCACGAGCTTCATCATTATCCAAGTTTTAAAATGCAAAAAGACTAATATATATATTCTACATCAAAGTTGGTCATAGGGCCTAGCCCTAGAGAGATGCAGACTAGATCTAGATTTTAATTATTTTTCTTCCTAAACAATGACTATCTTGAGTAAAATGTTTCTTATTAAATTTTTATTTTAAAAAGGGTCTTGCTTAAACAATAAAAACAAGGTTGCTCAATTTTATCAACACTACAGCACTTAACGAATTAAATGGTTTTTAAAAATGAAAGCTAACTCCTGGTATTCAAAAATAGAGTTATTGCTCTCTTCTAATCTCTTTATGTCATTGTTACTGAACAAATTACCGAGGCCGACAAATGTACAACACGATTGTGTCAAAAATGAGTGATTAGACTTAGACTAGACACCTGACTTATAATAAGTCATAATTATATTTTTAATTTATTTTATACAATAGATCTAGATTCTAGATTAATCTAGATCATCTAGATCTATTGTATTTCTATTGATCCCTGTGGAAAATAAACGTGGTTTTGGGGGATGAATTGTTATTGTTTACTGTAAATTTATAAATACTAAATTAGTAACACTAAATAAGCCTAGATCTAGGCCTATACTATTTATCTGATAATTTGTGAGAGTTCGAGTCCCACACCCATGTCAACAAAATGAAACACTAATCTAGATAGACGAGACGTGTCTGGTCAGGCTGTTTCAAAATTTAACTTCAAAACTAAAGAAGTGGTCGGAATTAAATGAACATGTTGCCGAATAATATATTTGGACCATATGCATTAAAAAGAATTTAAAAACAAATGCCGCATGGTTGGTTTGATTTTTACTGGTCTGGGTCAGGTTAATAATTCCATGGGAACAAAAGAAAATCAACTAAAATGTATCATTCTCAACATGCCCACCTCAATAGCACTCCTGTGCGCATCTACAATAAGTAGTGTAGCATTTTAAAAGTTTTGATTAGTAATGGAGAAATGGATCGTAAATTATAAATTTTAGTGACTTAAAAAAAGGTAATGTGTAAAATAATTTTAATTACACAATAAAAATCCAACCGGAGCAGTCAGTGGCGTCGCTAGTTCGGGTATAACCCGGTGCGGCAACTCAACTCATGGTGTCTCCCTACCCCAAACAAAAAAAAGTATATATGTATATATATATATATTATATATATATATATATATATATATATATATATATATTATATATATATATATATATATATATATATATATATATATATATATATATATATATATATATATGGGGGGGACACGGGTTGGCCCAACATTTGATTGATTCTATCTATAAAGTATTATTAAAAAATAACCATCAAAATTGTTCTAGGGATTTGCTGACAAGAACGTGTTTTTCGTTATGGTCCGCCCCATTAAATCTAGAATATTGGCTATGTCACGCACAAGACAACAGAACTATCAATCAAAACGTTTCAAACGATCGCGGCAAACACTTGTAGAATGTGAGACATCGTGAGACCAATCTATGTAAAACAGTTATTTTGTTTTGATTGGCTTTTAAGTTATTTGTCACACACACACACACACACACACACACACACACAAAACACTAACGCCGTTCAGGCACCATAAAACCCCCACAAAATGTGGACAGAATAAATAAAGTGCTGTTTACAAATGTGGTAAGCTGCACTTTTTAAAATCACGCTACTAGATCTAGACAATGGCGTACATTTCTTTCCTGTGATCTTAAATTACTGCTGCTGTAATGGTAAACATATTTGAAGAGATGTTTATGTTTGTTTGTTTTTTAAATATAGAACTGCCATACACAATATGCTTTGAGTAGTAAAGTGTGTTCTATGACTGAAGTATTTAAATAAAAGTACGCACCTCCATCTTCAAATGAAACAAACGATGATGGATGAAGACAGCTCGAGTTTTCGACAACATCCATTACACCTTTATTACCTGGCTTGCAGCTCTCTTTCTTTTACTTGCTTTTCCCACCCTCCCCCCGCCTCAAAAACAACTTGAATGACGGTTATTTAAAGCGAGTGACTCAAATTTCAGTCCTCAATCGTCTTGATATCTGTATTGAAACTATTTCTTTACATCTTTAAGTAAGTGTGCTTTTTTTGTTTTATTTATTGGCAGTTACTAGATCTAAATAATATATATTTTTTTACCACGTTTTCTTTAACTTGCTTTCTCTGTGTGTTTATTTATTTATTTGTTTGTCTTTCCAATCCAATCTTGCGATCGAAATTTCTGGCACTTCCCAGTTAGCTAGCGCGCTGAAATTTTCAGGGAAGCTTTCTTTTGGATGACCATTGAATATTCAATTGTTATTATTACTAAATTGATCAATGGAAACATTTTATTGAGCATTTTAGACCGCTATATAATCTATATATATAATTCTCCTCTGCTAGCCATTACAAAAAAAAACCAGCGACGCGTACCTCGCGCGCAGTGAAGCGAACGATCACATGTCGCCACAGGCTTAGGGGCAGAGAATTTAGCTTGAACCGAGTTTAAACTTACAGGAGGTAGGCCAGTTTGGGGGAGACGATATGGTCGAGTGGTTGGGCACACGATTGCTATCCCACTCGACACGGGTTCAAATCTATGTGTTCTAGTCAGTAACGTATTCAAACAACGTGTTTTTTACGAGTTGTCTTTTTACGAGTTGTCTTTTTACGAGTTGTCTTTTTACGAGTTGTCTTCGTTTACCCAAAAAAAGTGAAAAGATAAAATCGATAGCAAGATTTTAATGCAAACAAACAGACAAAGACTAAAAAGTAGAAAATAATAATCATTAAAAAAGTTTTTAAAAACCCACGTTTTCTGATTGAACTAAAAAGTAGAAAATAAATGCTATAGGCCCTACATCACAATAATGCAAGCGATCACTCTACTATAAGCGAGCAAAAACGTGGGGCGCCGTGATTTTCTTACAGTTTCTAATACTGTTGACTCTCTACAAGCTCCCTAATAAAAGTCAATAGTATTATCTAATCAATAGTAATATAACTTTTACTTCGGCGCCCCACGTTTTTGATCGCTTATAGTAGAGTGATCGCTTGCATTATTGTGATGTAGGGCCTATAGCATTTATTTTCTACTTTTTAGTTCAATCAGAAAACGTGGGTTTTTAAAAACTTTTTTAATGATTATTATTTAAAAATCTGAATGTTATTAAAATACTAAATAATAAGTGGCACAACCCTACAAATATTGTTCATTGTATGGGACATTATAATTATATCTATTGCACTTATATCCATTGCACTTAATATTTTGAATTTAAATTTACACCTAGGTAAAAAGAAGAAGACAACAGATAATTTAGACAAGAAAGAATGAAAGTGGTTATCGTTCTTTGCCTACTGGCTCTTGTCACATTAGCATCAGCCTATTGTAAGTACCGTCCGCTTGAGTGCAAACTTAAATTGCTTCAACTACAGTTCATGCAATAATAATTAGGAATTATTTAAAAACTGACGATGAGAAAAAAATTAATTTGATACTATTTATTATTGTTGCAATGTTAATTTGATTTTCTAATTTTCAAAACAGATAATAACATTGGGCAAGGTACAGCACATGGTGAGAAATTAATTAGGAATAATTATCCAATTATGATACTTTAAAATATTTTGCCAAAACTAGGGACGTTAATACTAGATTTAGGTGTAATTTACTTTATTTGCAAAGTTTTGTCAATTTTTAAAATAAATGCTGACTGACTAAAACACAGTTGAGCAAAATTTTAATTATGAATTAATTAATTCGACCATCACTGCTCTTACTTTATCAACTGCTACCATCTGCCATGGACAAATAAGGTGACCACAATAAGGCATTTAACTTTATACACACACATTATACAGATACATTATAGAGGTACATTATAGAGATCAATTATACAGATAAATTATAGAGATACATTATAGAGATATGTGAGGAACTATTTTTAGCGCAATGTCCATACTGGCAAAAAAAAAAATTGCGTAAAACTCGTCATTTCTGGATGGATGTATGGATGTGTGTCCGCAGCTTTAAGTCGTATCTCCTCCTCAACGAAGCAATATCGAGGACTAGTTCCAAAAGCAAATATGTTAAGCAAGTTCCAAGGATGATTGTGGGCCAAAAAAAAATCCCGGAATTCCTTCCTGGATTTCCCGGAAAAGCCAAAAAACCTCGAACAAATGCAGTTTTTGGTCCATATCTCGGCAACCAGACCACTTAGCGACTTGAAACATTTACCAATCGATTCCTGTCATAATTTAGAACAATATTGCCGAAGAAAGTTTTCAAAAATATCCTTTCGTTCGGTCACAAATTTTTTTTTTTAAATTACATAAACACCTACAAACCGATTGTTCTCCTAGCTTGAATGCACCCCATATCTATTTTTAGATAACATAAGGAAATTGCGCTTAAATTGTCACTAGACTTTTTATTAACTTGTTTTGGTTCCTTTCAACACAAAACAGAATTGTGAAGAACTCAATTTTTTTCCATCGTTTTTTTAAGGGTATGCACCACTCAGTGGCCTAGGGCGAATTCCCTTCTGTAAGTATCCATCTTTCTATTCCCTTTTGTAAGTATCCATCCATCTTTCTATTCCCTTCTGTAAGTATCCATCCATCTTTCTCATTCCCTTTTGTAAGTATCCATCCATCTTTCTATTCCCTTCTGTAAGTATCCATCCATCTTTCTCATTCCCTTTTGTAAGTATCCATCCATCTTTCTATTCCCTTCTGTAAGTATCCATCCATCTTTCTCATTCCCTTTTGTAAGTATCCATCCATCTTTCTATTCCCTTCTGTAAGTATCCATCCATCTTTCTCATTGCCTTCTGTAAGTATCCATCCATCTTTCTATTCCCTTCTGTAAGTATCCATCCATCTTTCTCATTGCCTTCTGTAAGTATCCATCCATCTTTCTTTTCCCTTCTGTAAGTATCCATCCATCTTTCTCATTGCCTTCTGTAAGTATCCATCCATCTTTCTATTCCCTTCTATAAGTATCCATCTTTCTCATTCCCTTCTGTAAGTATCCATCCATCTTTCTATTCCCTTCTGTAAGTATCCATCCATCTTTCTATTCCCTTCTGTAAGTATCCATCCATCTTTCTTTTCCCTTCTGTAAGTATCCATCCATCTTTCTTTTCCCTTCTGTAAGTATCCATCCATCTTTCTTTTCCCTTCTGTAAGTATCCATCCATCTTTCTTTTCCCTTCTGTAAGTATCCATCCATCTTTCTTTTCCCTTCTGTAAGTATCCATCCATCTTTCTTTTCCCTTCTGTAAGTATCCATCCATCTTTCTTTTCCCTTCTGTAAGTATCCATCCATCTTTCTCATTGCCTTCTGTAAGTATCCATCCATCTTTCTTTTCCCTTCTGTAAGTATCCATCCATCTTTCTTTTCCCTTCTGTAAGTATCCATCCATCTTTCTATTCCCTTCTGTAAGTATCCATCCATCTTTGTCATTGCCTTCTGTAAGTATCCATCCATCTTTCTATTCCCTTCTATAAGTATCCATCTTTCTCATTCCCTTCTGTAAGTATCCATCCATCTTTCTCATTCCCTTCTGTAAATATCCATCTTTCATGTTGTGTGGAGTGGTTGTATCATGTGGTGTGGAGTGGTTGTATCATGTGGTGTGGTTGTATAATGTTGTGTGGTGTGGTTGTATCATGTGGTGTGGTTGTATCTTGTGTGGAGTGGTTGTATCATGTTGCGTGGTGTGGTTGTATCATGTTTTGTGGTTGTATCATGTGATGTGGAGTGGTTGTATCATGTGTGGTGTGGTTGACTCATGTGGTGTGGTGTGGTTGTATGATGTTGTGTGGTTGTATCATGTGATGTGGAGTGGTTGTATCATGTGGTGTGGAGTGGTTGTATGATGTGGTGTGGTTGTATCATGTGGTGTGGTTGTATGATGTGGTGTGGTTTTATGATGTGGTGTGGTTGTATCATGTGGTGTGGAGTGGTTGTATCATGAGGTGTGGAGTGGTTGTATGATGTGGAGTGGTTGTATCATGTGGTGTGGTTGTATGTGGTGTGGTTGTATCATGTGTGTAGTGGTTGTATGATGTGGTGTGGTTGTATCATATGGTGTGGAGTTGTTGTATCATGTTGTGTAGAGTGGTTGTATCATGTGGTGTGGAGTGGTTGTATCATGAGGTGTGGAGTGGTTGTATGATGTGGAGTGGTTGTATCATGTGGTGTGGTTGTATCATGTGTGTAGTGGTTGTATGATGTGGTGTGGTTGTATCATATGGTGTGGAGTTGTTGTATCATGTTGTGTAGAGTGGTTGTATCATGTGTGTAGTGGTTGTATGATGTGGTGTGGTTGTATCATATGGTGTGGAGTTGTATCATGTTGTGTAGAGTGGTTGTATCATGTGGTGTGGTTGTATCATGTGGTGTGGAGTGGTTGTATGATGTGGTGTGGTTGTATCATGTTGTGTCACCTATCTTGTCAGATGGGGGAGGCTACAGAGGGAGGTACTGGGGAGACGGCCCTGGAGATGACTGGGACGATGCTTACGACAACGGAGGATGTAAGTTTAAATTTTTTTAGCAATCATTCAACACTACTAGCATGGAACTATAAGATATCTACATTTTGTTGTACCTAATTTTGTTCAACTTTTATTAAACTTGTATAAAATAAATAATTTCAGACAGGAGGTTTTACAGATCCTGGTAAACCTGAGGTAATTATAGCTTTAACATCCCCCCATTGTGTGGTTGGCAACAGAGGGTTGGACTGGTTCAGTGCACCTGATGACTCCAGGGCCGAAATCCTGGGCCAGGAAAGGTTGGGTGATTGTAACGGCTGGCGCTGTCACAATAACAGCTGATGATGTCACAATAACAGCTGATGATGTCACAATAACAGCTGATGATGTCACAATAACAGCTGATGATGTCACAATAACAGCTGATGATGTCACAATAACAGCTGATGATGTCACAATAACAGCTGACACTGTCACAATAACAGCTGATGATGTCACAATAACAGCTGATGATGTCACAATAACAGCTGACACTGTCACAATAACAGCTGATGATGTCACAATAACAGCTGATGATGTCACAATAACAGCTGATGATGTCACAATAACAGCTGACACTGTCACAATAACAGCTGATGATGTCACAATAACAGCTGATGATGTCACAATAACAGCTGATGATGTCACAATAACAGCTGATGATGTCACAATAACAGCTGATGATGTCACAATAACAGCTGATGATGTCACAATAACAGCTGACACTGTCACAATAACAGCTGATGATGTCACAATAACAGCTGACACTGTCACAATAACAGCTGATGATGTCACAATAACAGCTGATGATGTCACAATAACAGCTGATGATGTCACAATAACAGCTGACACTGTCACAATAACAGCTGATGATGTCACAATAACAGCTGATGATGTCACAATAACAGCTGATGATGTCACAATAACAGCTGACACTGTCACAATAACAGCTGATGATGTCACAATAACAGCTGATGATGTCACAATAACAGCTGATGATGTCACAATAACAGCTGATGATGTCACAATAACAGCTGATGATGTCACAATAACAGCTGATGATGTCACAATAACAGCTGACACTGTCACAATAACAGCTGATGATGTCACAATAACAGCTGACACTGTCACAATAACAGCTGATGATGTCACAATAACAGCTGATGATGTCACAATAACAGCTGACACTGTCACAATAACAGCTGACACTGTCACAATAACAGCTGACACTGTCACAATAACAGCTGATGATGTCACAATAACAGCTGATGATGTCACAATAACAGCTGATGATGTCACAATAACAGCTGATGATGTCACAATAACAGCTGATGATGTCACAATAACAGCTGATGATGTCACAATAACAGCTGATGATGTCACAATAACAGCTGATGATGTCACAATAACAGCTGATGATGTCACAATAACAGCTGACGATGTCACAATAACAGCTGATGATGTCACAATAACAGCTAATGATGTCACAATAACAGCTGATGATGTTACAATAACAGCTGATGATGTCACAATAACAGCTAACGATGTCACAATAACAGCTGATGATGTCACAGATAATGATAAGCTACTGGAAGATATATGTGAACAAATTGAAAACAACAATATATATTATTTGAAGCATTTCATTCAGTTAGTATATTAAAACATTAAAAGAATTTAAGAGTATACATAGTTGTAAACATCTTTATCTCTTTACACTTTCTCCACAGGGAACTATGTAAAACTAAATGCAACAAACAGATGTAAAAATGTTAAAGAGAAATCCTGTGGTGATGACAAGATCAGGAGAGATACATTCTGCAGACAACCCACAAACCCATTTTTGAATGACAACTGTAAACATTTATATATAAATATAATGAATGCATCTCATGAATAAATTGTTCTATCAAATAATGATACATTCATTCACAGTTTTCAATTATACAAAACAACCGGTACATTAATTTAAAAGGTGAATCCATACAACTGGTAATAATCCATAAAGCTGGTTATAATCCATAAAGCTGGTTATAATCCATAAAACTGGTTATAATCCATACACTGAGTAACTCACCTTCTGCCCAGCATGGAGGCTCTGCTAAAGAATGTCTAACTACATGGCTGTAAACTGTTTGGCATAAAGTTATTACAATAATTAAATGCTTTTTTTTTTAAATAAGTGACATACAACATAAACACCATCTTAAAACTGAATCCATAAGTTCAATAAAACTATCAAGCACCCTTGGTTAGCATCTAATTATATTTTGAACCTACTATGTTGTGGTTGTGAAGGCAATGTTTGTGGATAATAGATTAGGGTAGCGCCCCTTTGTTTACATTATTTGGTATGCAGTGTCCACAAATATGTCAGCAACCTAGGAACATATTTGATAATGTGTTACAAACTGTAAGAGTAGATAGACTCTTGCACATTGTGATCTATATTAAAAAAAAAAAAAGGATCCAAAAAATAAAACCCAAACGTACTTGAATGTAGCTACAGAACATTAGAGTTGATCCTGATTGGATTTGATGTACATTTTAACTAATTACACATTACCTGGGTCATCTATCTTTACCCGGGTCAACTATCTTTACCTGGGTCAACTATCTTTACCTATGGTCAACTATCTTTACCTATGGTCAACTATCTTTACTGGACTAAAAAAAAAGCACAAGCATATGTTAACGACACAAAAAGTTTACCACTTCCAATGAAAGGTTTTACTGTAAACATCTGCCTTATAAATCCATTTTTAACTCTTCTCAGTGAATGGCATGTATTTAATCATAATATTCCAAATATATATTCCATACTGTACTAAAATAAGTACACTATCATTTTTTTTACTACTTGTCTGAAATGAATGAATGAATGATGTTGGCAAATTATTCCACATTGACATAAAGACAAGAAATTAAAATACAAATTCATGTTAATATTGAAAAACTATAGCAAATTTGACAGAGAAACCTAATCTCCTTGACATGTAAACTAATTGTCTTCAAACAACATTTCAACCAAATCATCCTTGGCACACTCTGATTCTTCTAGTCTGTGGGGCTGAACATGAGGAAAAATAGAAATCAATGCCATTATACCCTACTCCATGTAATTCCATAGTTTTTTAGTTTTTAACACAATCCATCTAAAAGTATGTGCATCTGTACAAGATGTCTATTAAAAAGTTCTAGTATTGACATATCAAAGATAAGCAAAATCCTATTCTATACGGAACACTAAGCAATACTTAACGTTTCTAGACTGATCTTCAAACACAAAGTTAATCCCATATAAAAGATGGATGGCTGAATTGAGCGGACAACTCAAGCAAAGACTACACTTGTGAATTAAGATTGATCTGTGGGTGGTCAATATACATCAGGAACAACAGCACTTGTTGTATTGACGCTAAAGTGACAGACCTTGTGACAAAAAGCACCTCGCCATGCCTGGCGCTGAGCTAGGCGCCGATAAGTAAGCCAAGAAGTAGGCTATAGATCTACTTGTGATGAGTGATTAAAAAATTGTGATATTAAGGGTGCATAACATGACAGTTTTCAATTAGTAGTTAACTAGTGTTGTTTTTTTGTGTGATACGGAACTTGTTTTAAATAAAATGTAATTAACCTCAGAAAATCTTTAAAATGGTTGTAGGGAGCACTGTGTACACTAATGGTTTGAAGTCATAGCTAAAGGTACGTTTGTAGTCATAGCTAAAGGTACGTTTGTAGTCATAGCTAAAGGTACGTTTGTAGTCGTAGCTCAAGTTTGTAGCACTCAGTAATCATCCATTCATGACGTCAATACAAATTTTGGACCCCCGTCTCAATTTGATAAAGTCTAAAAACTGCCACCCTCTAGTTCATAATCTCTTTTTATTTTATTGTCTGTTTACTCGATGCATTAATTTTATGACGATAGATAAATTTATTTACAGATGGAGCAGAGGTTTTTTAAAAAATTTGTACATTTTATGTATGTGGTAAGAGTTTTTGTTAGTTTTAAAATATAAGTATTTAGCCTAGATGTAACATTCAACATGCAAATATTGACACATATCCATTAATCACTTTTTTCTGAGGACATCATAAATGAAGTAACCCTGAAGACATAAAAAATAGACAACCCTTTAAAATTAATACTCACTGAGCCAATCCTAACAAGTGTAGGGACACATTTCACCTTTAACTTTGGATCTTTGCGGAATTCATTGTTCATGTTTTTCCAACTAGTTTAAAAAAGATAATGAACAAAATATAAACTCCTTTAAAAAAAGAATAGACTTCGAAGTTCAATGAAAAATTACTGATATTAATTAAATCAAAGAAATCACAAACATAATTCATTTTTATGAATATATAATTATAATTGGTCTTTTCAACACAATTCACTAAGGAACATGATTTCTACTAGACATAGAATAAGGTCGGCACCCACCCATAAAAATGTCTTTATAGTTATAAGTAAAGTAAAAACTCATTTCAATCTTCAGAGAAAAAATGATAATCTTTTTCCTGAACAAAAGTGGTGAGCAGTTGGACAGAACTGGAAAAAACAGTGAGCGCAGAAAAAGATGCTGCCTTTGTTAAAGTGGGAGTTGAAGAAAACTTACTAGTCTCTGTCCCCAACATGGCAGTGTATCAACACTGCATCTTCTGGGGCCTTGTCAAGGTTACGATTTATAACTGGCTCGGCTGTAGGAAACAAAAATCAAGTTAGGTCTTAAAATTTCGCAGAATAATAATTACATTCTTTAAATGCCTGGCTTTGTCTTTATTTACTCATAATAAATTATTACATTCTTTAAATGCCTGGCTTTGTCTTTATTTACTCATAATAAATTATTACATTCTTTAAATGCCTGGCTTTGTCTTTATTTACTCATAATAAATTATTACATTCTTTAAATGCCTGGCTTTGTCTTTATTTACTCATAATAAATTATTACAATCTTTAAATGCCTGGCTTTGTCTTTATTTACTCATAATAAATTATTAGGCCCAGAGTAGCTGTACAGACAACATGCCTCGTTATGAACACCTCAGTAACTCTCACTTTCAAACATAATTGCAATGTTTGGATGTGTTATATAGAAAGTTAGCATTGGATGTGTTATATAGAAACATAGCATTGGATGTGTAATATAGAAACATAGCATTGGTATGTAATATAGAAACATAGCATAGGATGTGTTATATAGAAACATAGCATTGGATGTGTTAATGTTATATAGAAAGATAGCATTGGATGTGTTACATAGAAACATAGCATTGGATGTGTTACATAGAAACATAGCATTGGATGTGTTACATAGAAACATAGCATTGGTAGTAAATATGTCCATCCACGTCAAATTTTATTCCATTGAATTACCCGCTGAGAGATATGAGCGATTAAAAGCAACCCGAGATGTAGGCGGCCATTTTGTTGTAGTCGGGACGAGCAAAGCCTCATCATTATTTCGTTTTTTTCCCAGAAAAAAGTGAACTAATATTGAATAGGATAGGCAGGCCAAAGAAGATTAACTCTACATAATAAATAAAATTAGTGTTTAGGCCTACATTTATATTAGATTTTAATTGTTCAAAATACTGAAATGGTAAAATAAATTGTTCTTTAAATTCAAACTACACGTTTTCTTGTCAAATGTGCACAGCATTGATTAAGTAACCAAAAATTAAAATTCCTAATTTAAATAGTAATAACTTGTAGTTATTCTCGCTAAATCTAAATTTTACTCAATTGTCAATTTGAACATAACCACTTAATATTAAACATCCAAATTTAATCCATTAGGCACTCATTTTGAGGGTGTTAGCTTATTTTAGACTAAATTACTTAATTTAAAATTTATTGTCACTCACGCTACTCACAGCTATGTTACGACACACCTCTCCATAACAACCACCCTTGTGTTTGAAGCTACAAAAAGCCATAAATCCGGTTTGACTTTTTAACTGGCTTTGGACAAGAGTTCCTCACTAGTGATCAACAAAAAGTGGTCACGTGGTTGTTTTTTTTTTAAATTTGGTTGTCATTTTCTTCGCCTGTCTTATAAAAAAACGGCTCATAATATTTGATTTATTTTTTCATAGACTGATAAACCTAATAACGCTTCAGTGTGGAAATCAATTTTATACTATGGAAATTTATATTTAAAAAGTTTTAGCATTTTTAATGAAACCAAGTTTTAAATTTAGCTTTCATTCTCCAACATAAATTTTGAAATGCTTTTCCGACATATATAGCCCTGCCACCTATAGTTTGTAGTTATAATGTGAAAACCCTACCATTTTGCTCATGGTAAACATTTTTTAAAAGTAAATCATAGAAGGTCACTGGAATTTGGCTGAAAAATCGTCTGAAGTAATGTGTCTGGTCCTGACGTTATATTGTTGTTAGCAACCAACCCCACCTCCAAGTAGCAAGTAATACTAATAAATTGGGAGCCTACAAATTAGGCCTCCATTTAGGGCTTAGGCCTAATGATTTATTTAGGGTAATTGGTAACCTATCGTTTTAGGTATGTAAAATCGCCCGCGGCTAGTAATGTACAAAAAAGTTACCTCATTGTCAAGGCTATAATAGAAGTATATTGTGATATATTTGTGTCAAATATTATAGATGGCTAAATATATCAATATAGTTTGAATACATGCCAGAAATTAACTTTAACAGCAGTGTTTGCGAAGAAGATTTGCTATATAAACAGCAGCCATTTGTAAAATAGAGTGGCTTCCCCTGAATCTTGCGCTACAAGTTTACAAAAAAAAAACTTAAACAAGATGGCTGCTATAGTAAATGTCAATGGTTGCATCTGTTGGAAACATCGCTAGTCTTTTTTAAATACTGAAAAGTTTTAATTCAGTTGTTTAAAAACAGGTAGGCCTACGCCCTACATGAATGATGAATGAAACAAGGAAACATTTTTGTATTTTTTAAAACAAAATCCTCCTCAAAATGTGAAATTATTAAAATTTAAGGAGTCACCTGTTTTTCAAATTACTAGTCGCGGACGATTTTACGTACCTAAACCGATGGATTAGGATTACCGGGTAATTTTAACTTAGATTTGATTTAGTTAGGCCTACCCTCAAATTTAGTTAGGCCTAGTACTACTACTAGTGTCTGAAATATTTTAAATGGATCTCTAGTTTTCATTAGTATAATATAATGTTTCTCGAGAATGCATAGATCTATCGGTCTATCAAATAAAAATAGCGAATGCATGCCTTGCCTTTGGTACAATCTGGACACCAACTGACACCACTTTCATCTGGGCTACCACTGAATAAGACGAATACAGAGCCCTTCATTCCGTTCAATGTTTTAGTCAAAGCTTCGTAGCCATGAACAGTCAACAGACGAACCATGTTTGATCTTTAATTCTTCACTGTAAACCTGAACTGATTCTGATTAAAATTTTAAATGATAAAAATTAGAGTCTTTCGTGACGGGTTGTGGTGTGGTCACGAGTAGATCAGCTGTGCAGTAGAAAAATGAAAATAAATAAATATTTTACTAAACTTTTCTTTATAAAAGCGGTCTAAAAGTTTAACTTGGTATTTTTTTTTTAATGAATAACAGTTTAAATAATAATTGTATCTTTAAAAAGTCATTGTAATAACAAAAGAATTAAATTAGTGTAATAATACATAAAATAATATTAAAAAATACAATAACGAATTATTATTTTTAATATGTTCCAGATCTAGTAATAGATGTTGATATGTTCAAATCTGTTTTGATCATATTGTTAGTTTAGTAGTGTAACTTTTTAAGAAAAAAAATGGCCCCCTCCACATCTAAAACAATCATTCATACACCTCTACCAAGATCTTCTAAAATTACAAGAAATATAACTCTATTGTTATGTTTATTAGGACTCTGTTTATCTATATTTGCTTTGTACATAGAAGTTCTCAAAGAAAAAAACCCAGACTATGTTGCATTATGTGACATTAGCGGTTATGTTTCATGCTCACGAGCATTAACCTCAAGGTAAGTCATTTTTGGGTAATCTATCGTTTTACTAAGGTACGTAAAATCGGCCGCGACTAGTAATGTGAAAAACAGGTGACTCCTTACATTTTAATAATTATTTCACATTTTGAGGAGGATTTATGTTTTGAAAAATACAAAAATGTTTCCTTGTTTCATTTATGTACCTGTTTTTAATCAATTGAATTAAAACTTTTCAGTAATAAATGAACACCAGCGATGTTTCCAACAGATGCAACCACGCTCATTTACTATAGCAGCCATCTTGTTAAAGTTTTATTTTTATAGACATATAGCGCGAGATTCAGGCGGAAGTTACTCTATTTTACAAATGGCTGCTGTTTATATAGCAAATCTTGCTTGCAGACACAGCTGTTTAAAGTTAATTTCTGGCCTATATTGATATATTTAGCCATTGATTTAGGTTTATTATTCATTTATCTATAATATTTGACACAAACATATTACAATATACTTCTATTACAGCCTTGACAATGAGGTAACGTTTTCGTACATTAATAGCCGCGGCCGATTTTACGTACCCAAAACGATAGATTACCCATTTTTGATTTCATTTAAAATTTAATCTATGACTATGATACTTAATAAAAAATCAATTACACTTTTTAAATTGTTTGTTTATACTCTACGCTTTTTACAAGTACAACAATTCAAAGTGTTACATTAACAATTTGGCTGAATATTTCTCCCGCTGACAAAATTATATCAATTCACAATGTGATTCTCCACATCTCCCTTAAGGCTAAGGTGTCCAGTTGTGAGTCATCTTTTTCCTTGAGGACAAAGCGTGTAATGTCTAGTGAAGACACATGTATTGGACAAAGTGTGTAATGTCTAGTGAAGACACATGTATTGGACAAAGTGTGTAATGTCTAGTGAAGATACTTGTATTGACAAAGTGTGTAATGTCTAGTGAAGATACTTGTATTGACAAAGTGTGTAACGACTAGTGAAGACACATGTATTGAATATAATCTCCTAATTTTGTCCTAATCTGGCTAAATTTTGTCATTTCTCTTTTTATGAAATATTTTTATTTCACTTGTTTTTACTAAACAAAACACTTTGACATTCTCAGGTATGGTAAAGGTTTTGGATTGGTTGAGAAAATTTTTTCCAACACAAGTATCTTAAACCAGCCAAATACAGTGTATGGTATGGCCTACTACACATTCCAAGCTACTCTAGGTAAGTCTTGTACCAGACTGTGTCTTGTACCAGACTGTGTCTTGTACCAGACTGTGTTGGCTACAAGCTACTCTAGGTAAAGTAGGACTGACTGAATGACAGCTTGCTGTGTTGGACAAACTAGTTTTATAGTTTGAAGTCCCATGATAAAGTTGAGCCAAATTTTTTTCTGTTTGCCAGCACTGAACCCATCGTCCTCGGCTGCTGTGGTGCAGACAGTGTTCAGTGTTGTGGCCAATTTGGGCTCCGTCTATCTGGGCTACATCCTGGTCTACATCATCAGGGACTTGTGCATCGTCTGTGTCTCCACGTACATCATCAACTTTTGCATGCTCATTGTCATCCTGGTCAAGCTGAAAAACTCTGCAGTGGAGGATATCAGGAGGTCACAGAAGAAGAGGAAGTAGAGTCACACACAACTGGACGTGATGAAATCTTGAGTCACACACAACTGGACGTGATGAAATCTTGCATATCTTTCTCTTAGCACTAACAAATGTCAAGAAATGAACAATGAGAAAAGTATTTGTGTTGTTGAAGTCAGTAGATAAATACAAATCTGAGGACTTGTTGTGGTGTGGGCTCAACTGGTGTGTGGGGTGGGGTCAACTGGTGTGTGGGGTGGGGTCAACTGTTGTGGTGTGGGGTGGGCTCAACTGGTGTGTTGGGTGGGGTCAACTGTTGTGTGGGTTCAACTGTTGTGGTGTGGGGTGGGGTGGGGTCAACTGGTGTGGGGTGGGGTGGGCTCAACTGGTGTGTGGGGTCAACTGTTGTGGTGTGGGGTCAACTGTTGTGGTGTGGGGTCAACTGTTGTGGTGTGGGTTCAACTGTTGTGGTGTGGGGTCAACTGTTGTGGTGTGGGGTCAACTGGTGTGGTGTGGGGTCAACTGGTGTGGGGTCAACTGTTGTGGTGTGGTGTGGGGTCAACTGTTGTGGTGTGGGGTCAACTGTTGTTGTGTGGTGTGGGGTCAACTGTTGTGGGGTGGGGTTAACTGTTGTGTGGGGTCAACTGTTGTGGTGTGGTGTGGGGTCAACTGTTGTGTGGGGTCAACTGTTGTGGTGTGGGGTCAACTGTTGTGGTGTGGGGTGGGGTCAACTGTTGTGGTGTGGGGTCAACTGTTGTGGTGTGGGGTCAACTGTTGTGTGGGGTCAACTGTTGTGTGTGGGGTCAACTATTGTGGTGTGGGGTCAACTGTTGTGTGGGGTCAACTGTTGTGGTGTGGGGTCAACTGTTGTGGTGTGGGGTCAACTGTTGTGGTGTGGGGTGGGGTCAACTGTTGTGGTGTGGGGTGGGGTCAACTGTTGTGGTGTGGGCTCAACTGTTGTGTGGGGTCAACTGTTGTGGGGTGGGGTCAACTGTTGTGGTGTGGGGTGGGGGTCAACTGTTGTGGTGTGGGGTGGGGTCAACTGTTGTGTGGGGTCAACTGTTGTGGTGTGGGGTCAACTGTTGTGTGGGGTCAACTGTTGTGGTGTGGGGTGGGGTCAACTGTTGTGGTGTGGTGTGGGGTCAACTGTTGTGTGGGGTCAACTGTTGTGTGGGGTCAACTGTTGTGTGGGGTCAACTGTTGTGGTGTGGTGTGGGGTCAACTGTTGTGGTGTGGGGTCAACTGTTGTGGGGTGGGGTCAACTGTTGTGGTGTGGGGTCAACTGTTGTGTGGGGTCAACTGTTGTGTGGGGTCAACTGTTGTGTGGGGTCAACTGTTGTGGTGTGGGGTCAACTGTTGTGGGGTGGGGTCAACTGTTGTGGTGTGGGGTGGGGTCAACTGTTGTGGGGTGGGGTCAACTGTTGTGGTGTGGGGTCAACTGTTGTGGTGTGGGGTGGGGTCAACTCTTGTGGTGTGGGGTGGGGTCAACTGTTGTGGGGTGGGGTCAACTGTTGTGGGGTGGGGTCAACTGTTGTGGTGTGGGGTGGGGTCAACTGTTGTGGTGTGGGGTGGGGTCAACTGTTGTGGGGTGGGGTCTACTGTTGTGGGGTGGGGTCAACTGTTGTGGTGTGGGGTCAACGGTTGTGTGGGGTCAACTGTTGTGGTGTGGGGTCAACTGTTGTGGTGTGGGGTCAACTGTTGTGTGGGGTCAACTGTTGTGGTGTGGGGTCAACTGTTGTGTGGGGTCAACTGTTGTGTGTGGGGTCAACTGTTGTGGTGTGGGGTGGGGTCAACTGTTGTGGTGTGGGGTGGGGTCAACTGTTGTGGTGTGGGGTCAACTGTTGTGGTGTGGGGTCAACTGTTGTGGTGTGGGGTCAACTGTTGTGGTGTGGGGTGGGGTCAACTGTTGTGGTGTGGGGTCAACTGTTGTGGTGTTGGGTCAACTGTTGTGTGGTGTGGGGTCAACTGTTGTGGTGTGGGGTCAACTGTTGTGGTGTGGGGTCAACTGTGGTGTGGGGTCAACTGTTGTGTGTGGGGTCAACTGTTGTGGTGTGGTGTGGGGTCAACTGTTGTGTGGGGTCAACTGTGGAGTGGGGTCAACTGTTGTGTGTGGGGTCAACTGTTGTGGTGTGGTGTGGGGTCAACTGTTGTGGTGTGGGGTCAACTGTTGTGGTGTGGGGTGGGGTCAACTGTTGTGGGGTGGGGTCAACTGTTGTGGTGTGGGCTCAACTGTTGTGTGGGGTCAACTGTTGTGGGGTGGGGTCAACTGTTGTGGTGTGGGGTGGGGTCAACTGTTGTGGTGTGGGGTCAACTGGTGTGGTGTGGGGTCAACTGTTGTGGTGTGGTGTGGGGTCAACTGTTGTGTGGGGTCAACTGTTGTGGTGTGGGGTGGGGTCAACTGTTGTGGTGTGGGGTCAACTGTTGTGGTGTGGGGTCAACTTGTGGTGTGGGGTCAACTGTTGTGGTGTGGGGTCAACTGTTGTGGTGTGGGGTCAACTGTTGTGTGGGGTCAACTGTTGTGTGGGGTCAACTGTTGTGGTGTGGGGTGGGGTCAACTGTTGTGGTGTGGGGTCAACTGTTGTGGTGTGGGGTCAACTGTTGTGGTGTGGGGTCAACTGTTGTGGTGTGGGGTGGGGTCAACTGTTGTGGTGTGGGGTGGGGTCAACTGTTGTGGTGTGGGGTCAACTGTTGTGGTGTTGGGTCAACTGTTGTGGTGTTGGGTCAACTATTGTGGTGTGGGGTCAACTGTTGTGGTGTGGGGTCAACTGTTGTGTGGGGTCAACTGTTGTGGTGTGGGGTGGGGTCAACTGTTGTGGGGTGGGGTCAACTGTTGTGGTGTGGTGTGGGGTCAACTGTTGTGGTGTGGGGTCAAGTTATGTGGTGTGGGGTCAACTGTTGTGGTGTGGGGTCAACTGTTATGTGGGGTCAACTGTTGTGGTGTGGTGTGGGGTCAACTGTTGTGGTGTGGGGTCAACTGTTGTGGTGTGGGGTCAACTGTTGTGGTGTGGGGTGGGGTCAACTGTTGTGGTGTGGGGTCAACTGTTGTGGTGTGGGGTCAACTGTTGTGGTGTGGGGTCAACTGTTGTGGTGTGGGGTGGGGTCAACTGTTGTGGTGTGGGGTCAACTTTTGTCGTGTGGGGTCAACTGTTGTGGTGTGGGGTCAACTGTTGTGGTGTGGGGTCAACTGTTGTGTGGGGTCAACTGTTGTGGTGTGGGGTGGGGTCAACTGTTGTTGTGTGGGGTCAACTGTTGTGGGGTGGGGTGGGGTCAACTGTTGTGGGGTGGGGTCAACTGTTGTGGTGTGGGGTCAACTGTTGTGGGGTGGGGTCAACTGATGTGGTGTGGGGTCAACTGTTGTGGTGTGGGGTGGGGTCAACTGTTGTGGGGTGGGGTCAACTGTTGTGGTGTGGGGTCAACTGTTGTGGTGTGGGTTCAAGTGGTGTGGGGTGGGGTCAACTGTTGTGGGGTGGGGTCAACTGTTGTGGTGTGGGGTCAACTGTTGTGGGGTGGGGTCAACTGGTGTGGTGTGGGGTCAACTGTTGTGGTGTGGTGTGGGGTCAACTGTTGTGGGGTGGGGTCAACTGTTGTGGTGTGGGGTCAACTGTTGTGGTGTGGTGTGGGGTCAACTGTTGTGGGGTGGGGTCAACTGTTGTGGTGTGGGGTCAACTGTTGTGGTGTGGTGTGGGGTCAACTGTTGTGGTGTGGGGTCAACTGTTGTGGTGTGGGGTCAACTGTTGTGTGGGGTCAACTGTTGTGGTGTGGGGTCAACTGTTGTGGTGTGGTGTGGGGTCAACTGTTGTGGTGTGGGGTCAACTGTTGTTGTGTGGTGTGGGGTCAACTGTTGTGGGGTGGGGTTAACTGTTGTGTGGGGTCAACTGTTGTGGTGTGGTGTGGGGTCAACTGTTGTGTGGGGTCAACTGTTGTGGTGTGGGGTCAACTGTTGTGGTGTGGGGTGGGGTCAACTGTTGTGGTGTGGGGTCAACTGTTGTGGTGTGGGGTCAACTGTTGTGTGGGGTCAACTGTTGTGTGTGGGGTCAACTATTGTGGTGTGGGGTCAACTGTGGTGTGGGGTCAACTGTTGTGGTGTGGGGTCAACTGTTGTGGTGTGGGGTCAACTGTTGTGGTGTGGGGTGGGGTCAACTGTTGTGGTGTGGGGTGGGGTCAACTGTTGTGGTGTGGGCTCAACTGTTGTGTGGGGTCAACTGTTGTGGGGTGGGGTCAACTGTTGTGGTGTGGGGTGGGGTCAACTGTTGTGGTGTGGGGTGGGGTCAACTGTTGTGTGGGGTCAACTGTTGTGGTGTGGGGTCAACTGTTGTGTGGGGTCAACTGTTGTGGTGTGGGGTGGGGTCAACTGTTGTGGTGTGGTGTGGGGTCAACTGTTGTGTGGGGTCAACTGTTGTGTGGGGTCAACTGTTGTGTGGGGTCAACTGTTGTGGTGTGGTGTGGGGTCAACTGTTGTGGTGTGGGGTCAACTGTTGTGGGGTGGGGTCAACTGTTGTGGTGTGGGGTCAACTGTTGTGTGGGGTCAACTGTTGTGGTGTGGGGTCAACTGTTGTGGGGTGGGGTCAACTGTTGTGGTGTGGGGTGGGGTCAACTGTTGTGGGGTGGGGTCAACTGTTGTGGTGTGGGGTCAACTGTTGTGGTGTGGGGTGGGGTCAACTCTTGTGGTGTGGGGTGGGGTCAACTGTTGTGGGGTGGGGTCAACTGTTGTGGGGTGGGGTCAACTGGTGTGGGGTGGGGTCAACTGTTGTGGGGTGGGGTCTACTGTTGTGGGGTGGGGTCAACTGTTGTGGTGTGGGGTCAACGGTTGTGTGGGGTCAACTGTTGTGGTGTGGGGTCAACTGTTGTGGTGTGGGGTCAACTGTTGTGTGGGGTCAACTGTTGTGGTGTGGGGTCAACTGTTGTGTGGGGTCAACTGTTGTGTGTGGGGTCAACTGTTGTGGTGTGGGGTGGGGTCAACTGTTGTGTGGGGTCAACTGTTGTGGTGTGGGGTGGGGTCAACTGTTGTGGTGTGGGGTCAACTGTTGTGGTGTGGGGTCAACTGTTGTGGTGTGGGGTCAACTGTTGTGGTGTGGGTGGGGTCAACTGTTGTGGTGTGGGGTCAACTGTTGTGGTGTTGGGTCAACTGTTGTGTGGTGTGGGGTCAACTGTTGTGGTGTGGGGTCAACT